CCTAAACCCCCAAACCCCTAAAAAAGGCCGACCCGCTAAGGCCCTGGCCCTCCTCTCATCGTTTGTGCGGCAACCGCCTGAACTCCTTGCAAGAGGCCAAATATGCCGCCTTAAACCAACAAAAACCCAAGCTAAGCCCCAAACACTGAACCCGAAACAATGAACCCTAAACAATGAACCCTAAACAATGCAGCCTAAACCATGCAGCCTAAACCTAAGAGGGGCAACACACACAGCCTTACTGGGAAGCAGCCGGCTGTTGCTCCTGGTGAAGCGCTTCGCCTGGGCGCCCCGGATGGAATTGCCTCGCGGGTTTCTTGCGGTGTGTTGAGTTTGTGGGTTTGCGGTTTCTTCGGGCTCCTGTGGGTTTTTGGAATTTGGGATTTTGTGTTTCTTAGATGGTATGGAGTTCAAACTTGTGTTGGAGGTGCCTATGTTTCGCTCTTCATGAATGATGAGGCTGCTCTTTTCAGGACGTAGAGTCGGTGCAAAACGCCAGCCCAAAACCTGGACGTGGACACATTCACATCGCTTGATCTTAGACACCAAACCCCAGAACCCTAAACCCTAACCGCCGCATCCCGAAACCTCATCCTGAACCCTTCAAACGAGAGCCCCAATCCTCCATCCTACCCAGTCGACCTTTGAACCGCATCAATAACAATAATAACAACCAGATCATAACAACTATCATAACAATAGCACATACGATTAAGGTTGAATAACATATTAATCAAACGAAGAGATAAAGGGCCGCTCTGCAGACTATCCTGACTGAGCCATCCAGCTTGTTTACATAAGAGATCTTGGATTCTTTGGGTACAAGGGCCTGGTGACCTGGTGGGTCAGCTCCCTGGTCCAAAGCAGGTCTTTGAGGCATGGTAGTGTTCCCTACCTGAGGATGACCTTCTCAAATTCAAAGCGAGTCGAAGTACGAAAGCCCACCTGGATGCTCAGCCTTGATGCTCGTACTGCTCGTATCGGGCACAGCTTGAGCTTCAAAGCGTCCGTGACAAGTGCGACAAGACAAGGGGCTGAGGGTTTCTGGCGGTATCGGCATGGACCGAATTTCGAGGTTTCACTAGTCATACTGCTTGGTGCTCTTGCTTCAGGTGTAGGAACGCCAAAGCTAACCCGAGTACCCGGACACCTAAACCTCTACATCCCGTATTACAAGGACCTGAATCACCACGAATTAGTATCCTCAGGGATCCTGAATACAAGGCTTTTTTTATAATACCCTGAACCCTAAACACTGAACCAAGACCGCATGGAGGCTTCTTGCAGGATTCGAGGGCTTAGTAGTGAGCTTCATGTGAGCCTTGGCAATTAGCGTCTGGCTTTACTATGCATTACAGTACACTTCTGAGGGGAGTACTCAGCTATAAGCAATTATGCGAGCTTCTATGCTATACTTCCAGGTGGGGCTTGAAGCAGCCCAACAAGGGCAACTATCTACTCATCGCCTGCTTACTGCAGTACTGTAAGTCTCTCTGAACTTGTAAACTACGTGCACGGATGGGGCTCGTCACCTCCAAGGAAAGGCTCGGGTTGCGGGCATAGGTTCAGGGCTTGGGCTTTGGCTTGTGGATGTTTTGGGTTTTAGGAGTTTAGGGTTTGCAGTTTACGGTTTTGAGTTTAATATAAGGGGCCTTAATAATTAGAATAGGGTTTCGGGGTATATTATACTCTAATTATAATAAGGAACCCCCAAAACCCTACTGTAATGATTAAGGCCCCTACATTAGAGCGTTGTGCAGCTTGCGACTGCCACCACCTTAAGTCCGAGCTGTAACTCCTGCTGACTCCTTCGGGTTTAGGGTTTTCAGTCCCAGAGGTAAACATCCAATACTGCACCCGGCACCGCTGCGAATGACGTGGCTTGAGTAAGGCATGGGGTCTTGAGGACATGTACATATGTTGATGTGTGTGTGTGTGTAAATGTATAAATAAGGAAATGACGATGAATAAATATGCACCTGCCGTTTCAAAAAGCAGACCCAGAAGCCTTAACCACGTACCGTGATAACATGAATGGGGCTGTTGTGGTGAAACTATAATATGTTTACACTAGGGAATTCTAAGAAAGAGTGTTTGGAATTGTTCAAGCCCCTATATCACATACCCCAAGTCCTGAAGCGTTCCGATGTCTTTTCTCTGAATACGTCATCTGGAAGCATCACGGAAGCTGTGGTCGATCCAATGTCTGGTCCGAACCCTGCACCCTAAACCCTAAAACCTAAACCCTACACCCCCTAACCCTAAACCCTACACCCTACACCCTAAACCCCTAACTCTAAACCCTCAACCCCTAACCTTAAAGCCTAAGCCCATAACCCTAAACCCTACACCCTAAACCCCTACCTCTAAACCCTCAACCCCGAATCCTAAAGCCTAAGCCCCTAGCCCTGAACCCTATAGGGTCGATATCCTCAGCACAGTCGAACACTGTGTTCCGGACTCTGGGGATCCTGAAAGGGGGATACCTCAAGGCTTAAGGGATCCTTTAGGGCTAAGGTACCCCTTAAGGGTTTAGGGTTTAGGGGTTTAGGGTTTAGGGTTTAGGGGTTTAGGGTTTAGGGGGGGAACCCAGACCACCGGAAGGATCTAATAAATAGATCCCCTAATTTGGGACCCTATACTACTAAGGGTACTTTAAAGGAACTCCCTTTGGGGATCTAATCCTTCCGGTGGTCTGGGAAGGTACCCCTTAAGGGGTGCTTTGGGAGTTCAAGACTTGAGAGTGTTCAGGTTTCAGGGCTGAGGTTTGTGACTTTGGACACCAAACAGCTCTACATGCGTATATCTAAATTAAAGCTATGTATATAATACATATACATATATCAGTAATATATAGTATATATATATATAAATATACATGTGTGTATATATATATACACGTATACACACACACACACATATATATATATAGATATAGATATATGTATAAATAAATATCTCTCTCTCTCTCTCTCTTGCTTACTACATATCTATAAATACATATATATATATAGACACGCACACACACATATATATATATATATATGTATTATGTATTCATGTATGCATATTTGGTATGAGTGTAAGTAAAAGGGCCTCCAAGAAGCAGCAATGCCAGAAACCCCACTTGCAAGTTCCGGTGCCTGTGGTGGGCCCTACACCCCAACGCTCCCTCAACCCCCATCACTGAAACCTCGGTGCGTTAGGGAGCTACTCTCTCTTGGCTCGAACAATTCGGACCTGCTCGATTGGATCGATTTCTGCGCACCACTTCAGGGTTGCCAGCGAGCAAACAGCGGGTCAGAGGGCTGATCGAACTCATGGGACCATCGGGCGTTCTCATGATTGGTAAGGCTCAGGGCTGAGGGTTTAAGAGTTCTGGATTAGCGGGTTTTGGCTATAATTTACACTCATATATTCCTCAGTCGAAAAATACAGTTCGTTCTTGCTAGGCATCAGAGCAATTCTTGGTCTGACTTACAAGTCTTTGGTGTCCCCAATCGTAGTCCCTGTATCTTCTGTATTCCGAAGGCAACCGTTCCACATCATGACTGCTCCTTTTCCCTTGTTGCCATAAACGCTGTATTCTGCCAGTATTCTGCCAGATAGGGACCGCAGCAGCCTCACTGCTAGCCGCGCCTTAGGGACATGTCTCAGTTTGGGTTCCTTTTTATCATCTTCCTGGGCTGACCCCTGTCCACGCATCGTAGCGGCTTTGTGACAAAGCTGCTGTCAGGCTCAGTTCTTCTCTCGGATGGTCTCCGGAAGGTACCTGATGGTGAAAGGTTTCAAGGTTGGGATTGCCTCATGTCGTGAGGCATTTGGCCACTATGTGGGGGGGCCTTTGCAATTAGAATCGGGTTTGGTGGTATATCATACTATGGTTATAATACCCTAAACTCTAAACCCTATACCCCAGGACAGTACTCGTAATTGTTTCGGCCGTACATCAAGCCCCGCATGGAAAACCCTAACTCAACGACTCGGAGGTTTGTTCCGAACTCCGTGAATGCAAGAGCCCCAAGCGCTGGAAGCCCGAAACCGCTCTCTCTGTATATACCGGCCTTTGTAATTAATAGTGTGTTTTTGTGTCGGAAGGGTGTATATTATAGCATAGCTATAAAACTTTTCAACAATAGCAGTGGTAAGAATCACATTGGTAAGAATCACATAAGTAATAGAAGGAGCTGAAGTTGAAGGAATAGTTTTGGTACTTATTCAGGATCCTATGTTGCGACAAGAAACTCCGACACGCCGGGTTTCCACTGACGTTCTGCCGAGAGACTTGTTGGCACCATAGCAGCTCGCCGTAACGGAGAGGTTCGCTGCATTTCGGAACTGGTACCTGCCCAGCAGCTGGAAAACTCAATCCCCTATTGAAGCCTCAGCCCTGCACTATGTAACCTTGACCTACGTGACCTCTCCAAGATCCGCGTGTGGCTCGACATTGCATCACGACTCTTTTGACATGCCGCTGTCGCAATAAAAAAACTCACGAAGCAGCCCAAGCAATCATGCTTGGCTGCGCAAGCCAACTGTGGGTTTCCGAAAAAGGGGACCCTAGTACAGTACCCTAAATAGTAGGATCCTTATTATAAGGACCCCAAAATAAGGTACCCCCCTTATTTTCGGAAACCCCCAACTGAAATTTAGCGCTCATACCTGGATCTCCAGCGCCTGCTTGTGAAGCTGGAGTCGGTGGCCCCCGCATTGGCCGGCAATGCCGAGGCTACTTGCGACTTTCCGAAAATTAGGGTACCTTATTTTGGGGTCCTTATAACAAGGATCCTACTATTTAGGGTACCATATTAGGGTCCCCTATTTTCGGAAACCCCACTTGTGGCCAGCAGCTGGCAGGATCTGCCTCTGTCGTCTTGAGCATTGATGAGGCCCTTGTTGCACATGCCAGTGATAAGCCAAGGGCTTTTTGGAGCAGTCGCAGGACCCGCTGCCATCACAATGACATTTGGTACAATGCGAAGTGATGAGTAGGGCCTGGTCACCTTGGACGGTGGCTTCTTGAAACAGCTTGCAGTGGCCAGACGGCGTAGGGGCATCAGCGAGAAGCTCGCCGCTGTAGGACCCTGCAAGGCTGGAACAAGGGTCTGCCAATGCTCGTTTTTGCATCGTCTCCGTCGTATTGCCAGAGCCTTCGCAGCCACAGATGTTCGCGCTCGGCCAGTTGCAAATGCAAGTGCAACGGTGACCTGGTGCGCATTGAGAATCTGAGCATGAGCACTGGCCTGCAGACGGCCCGCATTGGCAGTCGGCGAAGGCACCCAGAACAAGAAAGCCAACCGCCAGCATCTGCATCATAGTTTGGCACTGGATCTAGCGAAATAGCCTCCACTGGGGAAGCTAGGTGCGACTCGCACTATAGCTTCTGTGTGCTTGACGAAGTCACTTGAGCGCAAACTTTCCAAGAAGAACTCACAAAAAACTCAAGGTACCCTGGGCTCGAAAACAATCTGCCAGGACACCTCCCGCCCACTTGCTGGTTCCATTGTTTCTTCTGATTCTGGGCACATTACATGCAGATAGCTTTTCTGGGTTGTAGTTTCGGGGCCCCCGAAACTATCCATGAAGGCACCTTTCCAGGAACCATGAAGGAAATTACAAAGCTTCCCAAAGTGCCAGCTAGTTGTAGTATGTCATAGGAGCGCTGTGCTCTTCTTCTAGTTCTGGGTCTCAGGTTTTACCGTTTACGGGCATTGGGATTCCGGTTTAGAATTGGGGGGGGTGTTTGAATTAAAGGGTTTATAGTTTATAGATGTTTACAGGGTCGAGGGCTTAGTGTGAAAAGAGCATATTGGGGAGCACTTGAACGACGAAACAAAAGAGTCTAGAATGCGGTGCCATGACGATTCGAAGGTTTCATAGACAATCCTTTCGAGTCGAGACTCGGGATCGTACACGGAACTCGATGGTTCAGGGCCTTTGTGGGTGTATGGGTTCAGGGTTTTATTGTGGACTTCCTAAGAACCTAAATCAAGCTGTAGTGGGGACGTAGAGTATGCAATTACTCTTCTTTTTTGCGGTACATTGACGCGAGCCGAGGTGAATCCAGCACTGATGCGATAGAGAGGTCCGGATAAAGTGCAGGTCTGAGCATGCACAAGTAATAGCACTCTCCTCTTGCAGCTCCGGTAGATGGATTAAGATAACCTGTGCCTGCCTGCCGTTCCAATTCGCGCTGCACATAACGGATGCCCATCGATTACCTCTTGAGGGAGCAAACAGACACGACATATATATATATATTATATATATTCGTATATGTAGGTACACACACACACACCTGACACTGTACTTATGTTTAGAAAAACACTCGAAACAGTGTTAGACTCACACTTGCCAATGGACATATACATCTAAAGCACCACTTTCTCAGCCAACCAAGCAGCCGAACCCTGAATCCCAAAACCCTAAACCCAAANNTGACAGGCACAAATCGAGAAGTGTACCAAGTCAAAAGACGCCCAAAACCCTAAACCGTAAACCCAAAACCCTAAAACCCTAAACCGTAAATCCCAAAACCCTAAACCCCTAAACCCTAAACCCTCAAAACCCTAAACCCCTAAACCCCAACCAAGCCGCCCAAGGCGCACCAGGCTTTGACCTGCTCCGATCGCTGCTCACTGTAGCCAAAGGCCGTAGGGATCGCATCCTGACTGCAGCGTAGGGTTTAGGGTTTAGGGTTTTAGAGTTTAGGGGTTTAGGGTTTAGGGCTTAGGGGATCAGGGTACAGGGTTTAGGGTTCAAGGTTTAGGGTTCCGGACGGCTTAGGGTTCCGGGTTTAGACTGCAACGTAGGGTTTACCCATAGGCCCCCCAAGTAGTTCCTTTTTGGGATTAGCTTATAGAATTCTAGATATAAACCATTAAAAGGAACTACTTGGGCCTATGGGTAGGGTTTAGGGTTTAGGGTTTAGGGTTCCGGGTTTAGGGCTTATAGGGGTTCATATCAACACTCGATGTTCGGTAGCTCCCTGCAAGTGCACTGTCTTGCACCTCTCATGCCTTGATCCAAATACCCCTTCAATAAGGAATATACCTTCAATTTTCGAGGCCTTGATATTATGCTTTGAAGCAGGTGTTAACCTCGTTGTCTGCGTTTCAACCTCGTTGCTTTCAAAATATCTCGTTGGTAAAGTCTTGTTTATAAGGTTTAAGGTCTGGGGCTTAGGGGTTAGGGTTCTTCCTCAGAACAGAGTGCACATCTTTGGGCTGGCTATGCTCCAATGCTCCCTCGCACATCCGCTGTCAAGATTGACCCTTGAACTCTACAGTCTTCTACAACAGGTTGGTTTAGGGACTAAACCCTGAGCCCTAAACCCGAAACCCCTAGAACCTAAATCGGCTGGTTCAGGGAGGGTTGCAACCTGCGACGCTGCCCTTCAGGGATCAGTCAGATGCCTTCGGTGTGGGATCAGCACTCATCTGCCGACGGTTTAGGGCTTCGGGTATAGGGTTTAGGTGTTAGGGTTTCAGGGTTTAGGGTTAAGGACACCTAACAGTCAACCCCAGCTGCCAAGCAGGGTTGGGGAGCCATTCAAGAACCATATAAATGAACCTTTGCATAACCCTTCTTATAAACCATTAGAAAACTCTTGGATCCAGACACCCTGAACGCTGATCCCCTTAAGAGAAGACTGCCAATCCGTTGTTCCGTTTTTCATCCATATCAAAATATCTATAATCAAAAACCGAGTATCAATAATGCAACCCTAAACCCTAAACCCATACAGCTTACTTGACTGGGTTGGAAACTGCGAGCCGGAAAAGGTAACCAAAAACACCCGCACACTCAAAACCGAAACCCAGAACCATGACAGAAGCCTTGTGCGAACTCGCATCGAAGCATCATAGGTCCCTTGCATCCCTTAAAGGAAATCGGCGATAGCATCCTACGAGGTTCCTCAGAAAGGAGACCTACCACAGAACCCTGATACATAGACCCCTTAAATCAACGAACCTTCATAGAACCCTGGCCCGGGACCCTACGGTAGAACCCTATACCAGCCTTAAAGGAGGCCTTAATACAGAACCCTTTAAAAGGACCATCATAGATGCCTAAACCCTAAACCCTGAACCTCCTACAGAAACCCTCACGGATCCCTCAAAAGAACCCTGATCCTCTCAAGAGGGGCGCGGGACCTTGTGCCGCACCGCTGGCGGCTCTTTCAGGCCTTCTTAAGCAGAAAGGTCTCAGGGTTTAGGGTTAAGGGTTTAAGGTTTTATTTAGTATGTGTATATATGTGTATATATATATATGTATGTATATATATATATATATATATCTCTCTCTCTCTCTCTTTTTGGGGGGCGGGGGCGGGGGACGGGGCCAAGAATCTCTCCGAGCCCTGTAATAACAGTTTTGTGAGGGGCTTATCAGGTTTCTCGTCAGTGGCTGATAAGGGTCTATGATCAAGTGGATACATCTGTGATGACGCTACAAGGTGCTCCAATATGCCTTTGTATGCTAGAAGCTGTAAAACAGGGGCTGATATGGCCTCGTACCGGCGCTGTAGAGTTCGATATGCCGTCAGCAGGAAAAGGAAACTGCTTCCTAGGGAAGGCTGTGTAAATTGTACATCATTTCAACAAAGCTTGGTGGCCGGGGATTCTAGGCTTCCTTGGGTGTTTGTCGGTTTGGGGTTTAGAGTGTAGGCGTAGGTAGCTTTTGGGCTTTTTCTGTGAAAGTGGAGTCTGGAGGTCTGCTTAAATGCATTCGTCAGGTGGAGGGGGGGTGAAGAGGGTGTGGTGTCACTCAACCAATGCTTCAGTTTAGCTGCATAGCATAACAAAGATCCGAGCTAGAATGCTATACTGAGCCTTTATTATCGTGCTGCTTCCGATGAACTCCCAAAAACAAGTTACCAGCTGGGAGCTAGGGTCAGGGGGACCCTTGGGGATATAGAGACCCCTCTCAGTCAGGCCACTTTTCAGAGAGCCATAAGCAGGGCTAAGAAGGGTCCCCTTTCCGGGGTCTCCCTTGTGCCATACCTAGGACCAGCATGCCAAAGGGGGTGCTTCGCCTGTCTCAGAGGCTCCTTCCTAATGTCAGGCCAGGAACTGGGGAGAAGGGCGCCCAGAGAGCCCAATGCCCCTTCTTTAAAGGAATACACCTTAAATTTATAGGGGGCTTCATATTAACCCTAAAGCCTAAACCCAGGCAGCCGATTGCAAGCTAATGCCTTTCTAGTGCAAGGCTGTCCTCTGTACGACTCTATGTAACAGCAGACTTGTCAAGTCCTCCGGTGCATTCATTCATTGCAACCTCAGAATTCACACGCTCCGCAAATTGGATGGGAACTCCTCAAGAACCCGAAACCTACCAAAAACGGGACAGGGGAACCGTGGGAGCTTAAGGCGCTAGTTGTTTCGGGCCCCTTTCCCACTGCAGTGCAGCTAGAAACTCCTCAACCCTAAAAACCCTAAACTCCTGAACCCTAAACCCTAAACACCCTAAACTCCTGAACCCTAAACTCCCGAACCCTAAACCCAAAGCCCTAAGCCCTCACCAGGAGACACACGGGAAAAGGGCCCGACCCACACGATCTAAAGCTGCGCTCATGGCCGGGATGGCATCCTTCGACTTGCTTGTTCTGCCAGGGCTTAAAGGGTGTATAGGGCTTATAGGGTTTACAGGGCTTGTAGGGTTTATAGGGCTTATAGGGTGTTGCTGGTTCTGCCTTTTTTCTGGCTCAAACCGGCTCAGGGTTCAGGGTTTAGGGTAGGGTTTAGGGTCTAGGGTTTAGGGTTCAGGGTTCAGGGTTTAGGGTTGGTTTAGGGTAGGGTTTAGGGTTTAGGGTTCAGGGTTCAGGGTTTAGGGTTTGCTCGAAGCACCTCAACCCTCACCACTGCTGATGAACAACCTGCGTCCTCAATGGAAAAGGGAGTACACCATAATCGCCACAGTTAAATTTCCTACTGCGGGAGCACGCCTTTGGCCCCAAAAAGACTGTTAAAAGGAGTCACCACAATTCTATTGTTTTTGGTGGATTTGTGGCTTTATGGTCCAATGGCCTGAAGGCTTCAGGCATTGAGCATTGGGGAATGTCGATGCAAGCGTTGCAGACGAGCAAAACATTTGTGGACGTGCTATCATCATAACCGTCTTCTCGTCATCACAATCATCATCAGAATCATCGTCACCATCACGATCTCCTACTGGTCTACATTTATGGTGCGCTTCCGACGTGTTTCGGGCGTGTGGCAGCTTGCACTGCTGACCCAAAGGCTCCATCAAGCCGTCCTTGACCTTGCCATTGTCGATCGCGAAGGCCTGTTGTCTATCTCGGCTGAAGCGCACACCAGCTCCTGTCCACAGGCGGCTTATGCAACATGGAGGAGATAAAATGTAAAGGGCTTGTGAGGGGATGTTTACAACTTAGCTCTCCAAATGTTTCGCTCTAGCAAACTTCCAACCATGAAGATCCTCCAGCTGGAAAATGTTGAACCAGCGTTACCTCCATGGTGCCTATCTTGTCGGAGTGTGCTGCAATGTCAAGTGCGGTGTTTTCTACACTAAGGGCACCTCGATCAACACCGAACGGGATCAAACTTAGAACAGCCTTCAATTCAGGCCTGGAATAAAGGTGCCATCTAGAAACGTTAGTATGCATGAGGGAATCATGTCTTTCGACCCGTTCTAGTTCAACCCTGCCCTCGAGATGTCAAAGATCAGAGCGAAAGCTGCCAACCTAACCTCCAAACATTGAAGCCTTGCCTACCTACTTCATCCACAACCACAGGGTTCCAAACTAGGGCCCCCTTAAAGGGTACTACAAGGGTTCTTTAATGGGGTCCCCTTAAGGCTGGTATAGGCGCTCCTTTGGGCTTAAGTAGAAAAAGCGTCTCCCCCCCAACCATGCCCCAGCCTGTTTGCTTCAGGTCCGAAGTGTAGGTGCCCACGTCGCACTCGCCAGACTCCAGGTAGTACAGCACGCCCTGCGCGGTCGTAGTGCAGACATACGCTCTGCTATACATCCGTGTAGAGTCAAGATAGCAAGCATCTTCCTGACGATTCTGCCTCCGGTATGCATATGCAAGTAACCTAATGCACCTTCAACTGGATTCAGAAATCTACCTTCGACTACCCTGAATAAATCCTCGTCGAACCAAAAGCCCTAGTCTCCCCGAAGAACTTCTAACCCGGCCAAAGCATAGTCACACCATACCCCAAACCACCTCCAACCCAAAGCCCGCAAGCCCAAAAGCACTCTCAACAAAGCCCTAAACCCTAAACCCTAATCAAATGCCGAGCCTTGCCGTTGGGTTTGCCATGGATGTCTAGTGTGCCTCAGGGTTCAGATTTAGTCAAGTTTGGTCGTTAGGGTTTCCTGATAAACGGTACACTCAAAGCAACTCAAACACTAACCCCAAACCCTACATTCTAAACCCCAAAACCTTAAATCCCAAAGGTCTGTCTTCCCCCATAACCACTTATGTGGAGCCTAGTGCGAGCCTAACACAACCAGAAGCCGCTCAGTTGAGGAATATTCTGCAAAGGGAACCCTCATTATAATTCAAAGTGCATTCAGAAACTAAGGAATATCAGAAGAAGGGGGTGCTTGCAATGACTTAAAGTGCATTGCTTGATTGAAACGATTTGTTGGAGGTCCCTGGGAAGTCACTGAGCAGGGTGCCGGCGTAAAGGTCCCCACCGGAGCAGCCTCAGAAGGAATCGTTCGGGCTTGAACAATAGCTAGGGTAGTAGCTAGGTCTAGGGTTGTAGCATTTAGGCTTTTTTTCGGGTTGAGGGTTTAGGGTTAGGGGCTTGAATCACTGACTCTGGCTCCGAATACCTTGTTGTTTTTTTTTTTTGGGAGGGGGG